ATATATATATATATATATATATGTGTGTGTGTGTGTGTAAATAAAATTATTAACAAAATATGATTTAATGCTATTAATTGTATGGGGAAGTAAAAATCTTTTGTATTTCCAGTAGCTTGGCATCACAGAGAGGGCTGATATGCACCTGCGAGTTTCTTTTTGTAGCCATTGCTATTGGCTATAAAATAGATTTTCGGGAGGAAACCCCTTGAGGGTAAAACTTACTGATGGTTAATCAGTCATTATTAAATGCTGCATGAAGTTCTTGCTCCTCACCTTTGCGTGAAACAGCACGGTTGTACTCCAAAGCACTAGATGGCGCTCTGCAGCTAGTTTTGGATGAGGATCACTCCGGTTCAAGGAGGTTGCAGAATCTTTGGAGGTGAGAAAGCTACACTGCACACTTTCACATGGCTGAATCTGAAGTATTTTAAATACCTGTTTCTCTTTAGGGATTCACGTGAGGAAGCTCTAGGGGAGTATTACATGAGAAAATATGCCAAATCCTCAGGAGGAGAGCAGTAAGTCAACAGAGTTCACCTGTACACAATGTGTATGGCACTGTTACAAAATGTGTGGCTCATTTTGGCACATGCATGTGTTGGAATTAAAGGAATGTCGGTCTTGCTGTGTTAACCTCTCTGCTTGTAGCTAAATATTCTTGATTTGTTGTTTACTTCAGTTTCTATGGCGGCTCTGAGGATCTTTCTGATGACATCACCCAGCAACAGTTGCTTCCTGGGGTCAAGTATGGGAAAAAAAATGTGTTGATGATTTAAAAATGCTGAATTAATTATTTCTAAAAAGACCACTGGGCTTGTGTTAAGAGATTTGTCTCTTACAGGGATCCTAATTTGTGGACCGTTAAGTGTAAGGTTAGTTATGGGCACTATCTAACCTGTGGCTTTGGGTGCTGTGATGAGGCTGCTGTATGTGCAGGGTTTAATTCTTAGTTTCTTTGTAGATTGGAGAGGAGAGAGCAACTGCCATCGCCTTGATGCGAAAATTCATTGCTTATCAGTGTACCGACACAGTAAGATTTCCACAGTCCCTCTGTCTTAACTTAAGGTCTGTTTGATTTGTTACAGCCAGTGTTAGTGCCATGGTTTATTAATACCTTTAATGGTGTCAGTTCTTTTGACTCGCACCATTTAAGTCCTTATTATGTAAGGCACAGAACTGTATGAACATTATCTTGGGTGCATTGTGAAAAACTTTTCTCGCTCGTTGACATTTTTATGAAAACAGTCTGTTTTATTTTTTGTTGTCAAATTGTAGACCAAGAGAGAAGAAAAAAAACTACAATGCAGAAAGTACATTGAGCCTAAAAAATGTTTGCTTGAAGGTTTGTGGTACCAATATGTTGTGCTTTGTTTCTCTCCACAGCCGCTTCAAATCAAATCAGTGGTGGCCCCGGAGCACGTCAAAGGTTATATCTATGTGGAGGCGTACAAGCAGACCCACGTCAAGGCCGCTATTGAGGGTGTTGGAAACCTGCGCATGGGCTTCTGGAACCAGCAGATGGTGCCCATTAAAGAGATGACCGATGTGCTGAAAGTGGTTAAGGAAGTGACTAACCTTAAACCCAAGTCTTGGGTTCGTCTTAAGAGAGGCCTTTATAAAGATGACATTGCCCAGGTGGGTATACCAGAACACTTGGCTATATAGTCATAAAGAAAACGTCTCCAAAAAGGGGTGCTAGATATTGTGTTTTGAGTTACGTTATTCGATTTGTCACTTGCACAGCTCTACATCTGTGCCAGGAAAACGTTTGATGCATGTATTTATTTGCCTTTTTTAGGTGGACTATGTTGAACCAAGCCAGAATACGATCTCACTGAAAATGATTCCTCGTATTGATTTAGATCGCATCAAAGCAAGGATGAGTATGGTAGGTTGCATAATCATAATGATCATTTATATTATCATGATATATTTATGCTACCATTGAAATGTTTGGAGTCAGTACAATTTTTGTAATTGTTTACTATTCTTTGCTTTTTACATGTATTTGATGTGGTTTGTACAGTAGTGTTGCCGTCTGGATAACACAGAAGAAAACAAAGAGATGTCTGACAGCGATGACAGCGATTTCTCTGATAATCAGAGCGAGAGGAGCAGCGAGGCTGAGGAGGTGGAGGAGAATGAGGTAAGACAACCAGCTCCTCCCCGAACGTGTCAGTAAATAGTCGATAAATAGCTTTTTATGGTAGCTAAAACCATGCTATATTTTGTTTATCTGAAATGGTTCATTAAAAAAAAACTCACTCAACACATATCTTTGAGGAGGAGGAGGAGGAACAGGGGAGTGTAGCTGGCAGTGACAAGGCTGAGGAGGAGGAGGGAGAAGATTTGGAGGATGAGGAGGAATATGATGAAGAGGAGGAAGAGGATGATGACCGGCCCAGGAAAAAACCTCGGCATGGTGGCTTCATCTTGGATGAAGCCGGTTAGAAAATCCCTTACCAAGATATATTTCGAAGATTAAACTTATTTACAACATCATCTTTTGCATACCTGAAGATGTCATTTGAAAAGCTCTAATATGTATTTTATTCCATGCTTGACTAGATGTTGATGATGAATATGAAGATGAAGATCCATGGGAGGACGGTGCTGAAGACATCTTAGAAAAAGGTAAGAAATTATAAATTTATTTAAATGAATTGTTTGTGCATGTTTTGTTTTTTTAATCTGAATAAGTTATTAAATATTTAATGTTCATATAATAGCATGTGGAATGATGTCCCCTGTATATGCAAAATATAAACTCTGGCAGGTGGAGTTAATATCTCTTTTGATATAATGTGACCAGTATCCATACCTTTATGAAATGGAGGCATTTTAAGTGAAATACCTACGACAGGCTGTATATTAAATATGTTGTATAAAATGATACCAGTTATTTGAATGTGTTTCTTGCGCTCATTGATTCTTTATTTCTTATGCATGCCTCCTTCAGTTAACGGTAAACCAATTCCAGATTTCTCTGCTCTTTGTTTTCTTTCTGTCTAATTAAACTGATTAATTCTCAGACCATTGTTTCACATTCGGTAAAATCCATACCCATGATCTGCACCCCTCTAACATTTGTTTGTGATGTTTAAAGTTGTTTGGCTAATGTTTAATTTGCTTTAATTTCTTAACAAGGAGCATGGATGGCAAATACATTTTTAGCAGTACACTTTTTCTTCTTTGCATCGTTAAAATACATTCAGTAAGGTCAAAGTCAATAAAGCCAATTATTTTAAGATGCACCATTCATCGAAAAGGGGACTGTTGAGAGGGGACTGACTGAGTTCTGAAAGGGAACCAAATATGGTCATTTGCCTGAAACTGCTCCTTTGAACAAAAAAACAAAACCCAATTCCATATGTTTGATAGTATTCAAGTGTGCTTATTGTATTGCATCAGCTAACAGTGACATGACATCATTATCATGTAGTTTCCATCTTTAAAATATATCACATTTGCAAGCCTGCCCATCATTTGTAATTTCCCTTTTTATTTCTGTTTACCTGGTCCTGTCTATGCCCTTGACTGAAATTGCTGTGTGCACATGACTTTGTTTTATGGCTCATGTTCCTCCCTTCCTCCCTCAACTCTGGATTTGAGCAGAAGAGGCCGAAGGTATGTGCTTAAATCTTCTGGTGTGCATGGATATTCACTTATATTCAACACGTGTCAACCATGTGTTCTGTAGCTGTTTACATGCACTGCTTTTAGTCAATCTGAATACGTTCAGTCTGGTTGTGAATTCTAAATGTACACTACCATTCAAAGAAACCATCACGGTTTCCATAAAAATAAGAAATGTTTCTTGAGCAGAAAATGAGCATATTAAAGAATTATTTCTGAAGGATCATGTGACACTGAAGACTGGAATAATGAGAAAGTAATACTTATATTCAGCAAGGACACATTAAATTAATCAAAAGGGCAGTTATAGAAGATTTTTGTTTTAATAAATGCTGTTCTTTTGAACTTTCTATTCATCACAAAATCCTGAAAAAAATGTTTACGGTTTCCACAAAAATATTAAGCAGCAAAAAGTTTAACATTCATATTTATAAAAAATGTTACTTGAGCACCAAATCAGCATATTAGAATGATTTCTGAAGTACAGTCTGACACTGAAGACAGGTGTAATAGAAAACTTTTATTTTAAACTGTAAATTTGACAATATTACTGTTTTTACTGTATTTTTAATCAAATAAATGCAGCTTTTTTTCTTCTTTGCATCGTTAAAATACATTCAGTAAGGTCAAAGTCAATAAAGCCAATTATTTTAAGATGCACCATTCATCGAAAAGGGGACTGTTGAGAGGGGACTGACTGAGTTCTGAAAGGGAACCAAATATGGTCATTTGCCTGAAACTGCTCCTTTGAACAAAAAAACAAAACCCAATTCCATATGTTTGATAGTATTCAAGTGTGCTTATTGTATTGCATCAGCTAACAGTGACATGACATCATTATCATGTAGTTTCCATCTTTAAAATATATCACATTTGCAAGCCTGCCCATCATTTGTAATTTCCCTTTTTATTTCTGTTTACCTGGTCCTGTCTATGCCCTTGACTGAAATTGCTGTGTGCACATGACTTTGTTTTATGGCTCATGTTCCTCCCTTCCTCCCTCAACTCTGGATTTGAGCAGAAGAGGCCGAAGGTATGTGCTTAAATCTTCTGGTGTGCATGGATATTCACTTATATTCAACACGTGTCAACCATGTGTTCTGTAGCTGTTTACATGCACTGCTTTTAGTCAATCTGAATACGTTCAGTCTGGTTGTGAATTCTAAATGTACACTACCATTCAAAGAAACCATCACGGTTTCCATAAAAATAAGAAATGTTTCTTGAGCAGAAAATGAGCATATTAAAGAATTATTTCTGAAGGATCATGTGACACTGAAGACTGGAATAATGACTGCTGAAAATTCAGCTTTGCGCCACAGGAATAAATTACATTTTAAAATATATTAAAATAGAAAAATATCATTTGTAGTAATGTTTCACAATATTCTTGTTTTTACTGTATTTTTGATTAAATAAATGCAGCCTTTGTAAGCATGGGACTTCTTTCAAGATTAAAAAAAAACAACTTACTGACCCCAAACATTTGAACAGTAGTCTACTTTTTAAGTTTTATTACATTTACTCACACATCATATGTAAAAATGATGTAATTGCTTACAAAGAATCAAAGATTTAGATAACAGTTCTTCTATTTAATGGATTAAGATCTGCACCACCTCTTTTCATTTCATTTAGATCGAAATTATTCAGATTTCAGACATTCAGCTTAAGCGATTAGTCATTAGTGAAATTATTAACGGATTATTACGCTGCATGTAAGCATAGCTACTGACAGTTTTTACAGTCTGACACTGAAGACAGGTGTAATAGAAAACTTTTATTTTAAACTGTAAATTTGACAATATTACTGTTTTTACTGTATTTTTAATCAAATAAATGCAGCTTTGGTGAGCATGAGGCTTCTTTTAAAAACATTTAAAACAATCTTACTGACCCATAACCTTTGGAATGGTTGTGTGACTTTTTAGTGATCTGACCCTGGCTTTGTCTTTTATCCTACAGAAAGACTGGTTTGCGAAGAGAAAGAAGTTTAAGAGGCCACCTCAGAGGCTTTTTGATGCTGAAAAGATCAGGTAATGTAGCACTTTGATTTTGAGTCTCTCATAATCAAAGCCTATTGAAACATGTCAGCTGTACTGACACATGCTCTGCTCCACAGGTCCCTTAGTGGTGAGGTCAGCCATGACGGTGACTTCATGATATTTGAAGGCAACCGATACAGCCGCAAAGGCTTCCTGTTCAAAAGCTTTGCCATGTCAGCTGTGGTAAGAGCCCTCACGGTCATTCTAGTTCTAGGTGTCTGTCTAATTATTCTTTATTGGTTCACTGGTTCAACCCGTGTCTCTTTTTGTATAGATCACAGAAGGGGTTAAACCCACTCTGTCGGAGCTGGAGAAGTTTGAGGACCAGCCAGAGGGGATTGACCTTGAAGTAGTCACAGAGACAACAGGTAAATACATCCAGACATAATTTGTTTGTACCAATGTATTGAGCAATCCTTCTGTGAATACATTTTTGCAAAGTTAATCACATTTTTAAATTTTTTGTAATACAGGTAAGGAGCGTGAGCACAATCTCCAGGCAGGAGACAATGTTGAAGTGTGTGAGGGGGAGTTGATCAACCTTCAGGGTAAAATCCTGAGTGTGGATGGCAACAAGATCACCATCATGCCCAAGCATGAGGATCTCAAGGTGATAAAATAACACGAGTTGCTGTGGAAATATGGTGCCAGTATGCAAATCATTATATCTTGTCAGCGCTTATTAGGTTTAGGTGAAGGTGAAGTGTGTAATTTCTGTGCCACTAGCATCACTAAATGGAATTCAAAAGCTTTGCGAGAGTTTAAATATCCTGAAAATCCTGTTTTCCATGATGTGTCCCTTTTACACCATCATTATTGCCTCTTTATCTTGTCTTTGTTTTTATTTAGGACCCTCTCGAGTTTCCAGCTCATGAGTTGAGGAAGTACTTCCGTATGGGCGACCATGTGAAGGTTATCGCAGGGCGTTTTGAAGGTGACACAGGCCTCATAGTCCGTGTGGAGGAGAACTTTGTCATTCTGTTCTCTGATCTCACCATGCATGAGGTAGGTTTCACTAGTAAGCTATAGAATTATCAGGGTTCGTACGGTCATGAAAAACCTGGAAAAGTCATGGAATTTTAAAACCGCAATTTCCAGACCTGGAAAAGTTTTGGAAAAATAAATAAACCCAGAAAGTTTTGGAAAAGTCATGGAAATCTATTTCACAAAACTCTGTATAATGGAATTGTGTAGGCCTGTCGCAATAATCAATATATCGACTTATCGCGCAATATATGTACATGACCTCAATAATTTTTGGTGACGCAATATATCGCCCATTATATTTACATAAAAAATTAATGTCACCATGTTTTTTACATTCCACTTGTGCCTGTGTCTTTTGCAGCTTCTCGTACATAACGTGGTGTAGTACCCTTAATTTACAGAGAAAAGAAGGTCCGGGAAAAATCTGTAGATGGAAAAATCTCCATACAAGTTATTTTCTTCTACTTGTTACTTTGCACTTTTAGTTAGAAAATGTTTATTTACTATTTTTTCAGGTTTTTTAAGGTATCTAATATTTTGATACTTCATTTCCATGATCTAAATATTCTTAAGAATTAAAAGTTTGTTGTCATTTGGAAGTGTGTAGGCCTTCTTCCATTATTATGCTGTTACATTATGATTATATATTCAGTGGCATAAAATGGTCTTTAAAATTACAATAATATCGCTTATCGCAATTATTTCTGGGGCAATATATCACACAACAAAAAGTTGTTATCGTGACAGGCCTAGAATTGTGTTTAATCAGGTCCTGAATTTCGGTGCGGGATTGCGCATAGGCTAGGCCTATATTGCATAGTTTTACTCATTCCCGCAGCTTTTGACTTTAAAATGTTGGATATTCACACATTTATTCAATAGCCTATAGCATGTTGGTTTGATGAGTAAATAAATCCACACAGACTGATCAAATCAGTCATTTTAAAACAGCGCGAGTGATTCAGCTGTACCGCGTCTTCTCTCTTTGACTTTCTCTTCAAACGGCTTCACATCGGCGCATCTTGTCTGCGCTACAAGACCTGCTGCACGCTGCGATACAAGATTTTCGCTCGCGTTTCGGGACTGTTGATAGAATTGTCACTTGCCTAATCGGGTCATTGTTGCATCATCACAAAAATGTATTATTTATTTACACGTCTTTTTAAGCCATTCAGTACTCGCGGGCTCCAGAGGCGGTGCGCAATCATATCCAAAGCGCGCGTGCATATATAAAGCCGCCTTGGGAGTACCAAATTGAGTTTGCTACCAAACAAGCTCAATATAACCCTGCATGGGCCTCAAACATATGCCCTAGTCCGGCCCTTGTCCGACAGATTATCAGAATTAACGGCCAAGTCCGACTGGAGCCCGTGTTACAATACATTAGTCCGACTGGAGCCCATTACACAGCTGCTGTTGTAGCCATTAAAATAGTTCAGTTTTGTTTTAATGGCAAAGTGGCTATATTTATTTTCGTTTCTTTATTACGTTCATTTAGAAATATGTTTGGAACAATTTTTTGTTTGTTAAATTCAAGTTTTTGTTTTTTAAAGTAACGACCAAGCGGCCAGTGGCAGACAGTGAGTTAATCATAGCCTATGTTTGATCAATTTAGCCTTCTCAAATCATCACCACTTGACTAAAATAAAATATGTAGGCCTATATAAAATACTTAAAAAAGCATATCACAATGTTAGTTTAAATGGTTAACCTAGATAAATGTGTGCTATTAGGCGCGTATCCAATTGTTTGTGCAGAGAAGCTAAAGCGCACTCTGCAGGACATGGAGTCGCATTTTTTTCTTATAACAGTGGAAACAACCATCATTTTTGCTCATAAAGGTAAGAGTAATACACCATTCGGGACTGTTAAGGGTCTACTTTTATTTGTGTGTACTCGCAATATTAGCATACGTTGTGCTTTTTTTAGAAAACAAACAGGATGCGCTTTCTGCCGTCTCGGTCTTGAGCAGGAGCGCTTCACAAAAATGAACTGAAACTCAGCGAATATTCTGTTTCCCCTGGCCCCGACACATTTACTTGCTGGGGTTTTGCGGCAAGCTTTGCGTGCGCTTTAACTTGGAACTCTTCCAACACTCGCTGCTGCTGCTGGACACTAAACACTGTCCGACCTGCTCTTGACAGTCGAGGTAGTACGGTCTCGTGTTGTTTCCACCAGCGCGGCAAATCTTTTTCATCACCATAATAATTGATGGATATCTAAAATATAAAAATAAGGAGGAAGCAAGCCCGATGGCTGGCCCGCGTCTGAGCTATGACGTGAAAATTGTCCCGAAGCCATAAATAAGTCGGGGCCCATCAGGCTTGGGCTGAAATGCAGGGCTCTAAATCGCAGCTTGTTGTGTTTAAGCAGCAAAAATACACACAAAATGACGCCAAAATGGCCACACAGTTAAATAAATTATAATATTCTCATCACAATTAAAAGAACCAAAGACTTAAACTACTTCAGTCTGTGTGCATTGAATTTATTTAATACACAAGTTTCACAATTTGAGTTGAATTACTGAAATAAATGAACTTTTCCACGACATTCTAATTTATTGAGATGCACCTGTACAGCAGTCAGTGTTGTGTGTTCTCTGTCTGATATGATGTCTGTTTTTGTTCCAGTTGAAGGTCTTGCCCCGGGACCTGCAGCTTTGCTCTGAGACTGCCTCAGGTGTGGATGCAGGAGGCCAGCATGAGTGGGGAGAGCTGGTACAGTTAGACCCCCAAACTGTAGGTGTCATTGTCAGGCTGGAAAGAGAGACCTTCCAGGTAAAGTTCAAGAGAAAGTGACAAGTTCAAGTGTAATGTAAGCTAAATTCGGGAGTACACACATGCTGGATATGTTTCTTCACAGCAATAGCACACTTTTCACCCTAGTCCCTCTGAGTTCACTCTATGACCAGCCTGGCAAAACCCTTAAATGGCTGTATTGCAGTCATGCAAGTACAGCCCCTAGGCTTGCATTTCAATAACATTGTCATATCAGCAGCAACACGCAGTATCACGAATCAGGGCTCAGGTTGGTGGTTCGTGTTTGTACTTGAGCTGCCAAACATTTTACTTGTCTTGCAATATAGCCAGATAAATAACTGAACTTAGACACAGTAATGTTCTATAGTTTGGGGTCCTAAGATGTTTTTGAAAGAAGTCTCTTATGCTCACCAAGGCTGCATGTCTTTGTTCAAAAAGAACTGTTCTCTATTTTGATAAAGATGAATAGACCGTAACGATTACTTTAGTTTTCAGTGTTACATAATCCTTCAGAAATCTTTCTGGCTCTTAAGAAACATTTATTATTATTATTATTATTATTATTAATGTTGAAAACTGTTGTGCTGTTCATCCTTGCTAAATAAAAGTATTCATTTCTTGAGAAAATACTGACCTCAAACTTTTAAACAGCAGTGTACTTAGATGAGTAGACAATTCATAACAGTACAGTGCGTCATAAAAAACAATTTGCTTTTACCAGGCAATTTATTTTATTTTTTATTTTTTTATACTTTTAATACATACATGACTTCACTTCCTACAGCTGTCATATTGAGTGGTTAATTTTTTCTGCTCTCTGAATTTTCTTTCACAATGATTCATTTTTAGGTTCTGAACATGCATGGGAAAGTTTTAACCGTACGGCACCAGGCAGTAAATAGACGGAAGGACAATCGCTTTGCTGTCGCTCTCGACTCAGAGCAAAACAACATCCACGTGAAGGATATCGTGAAAGTCATTGATGGACCTCATTCGGTAACTACCAGAGACCGGGGAAAAAGGTTTGACATTATGTAACAAAACTGCACTGGTGGAAGTTAATATTCTCATTTGTGTGATCCATCAGGGCCGTGAAGGTGAAATTCGCCACATCTTCAGAGGCTTTGCTTTTCTTCACTGCAAGAAGCTGGTTGAAAACGGAGGCATGTTTGTTTGTAAAGCACGCCACCTCGTTCTGGCAGGCGGCTCAAAGGTAGGACTATTCTACTACATCTGTGGACAAATCTTATACATTTCCCAACTTCCCTGTCATATAAGGTCCCCTTTTGTTCCCAAAGCCCAGAGATGTGACCAATTTTACAGTGGGTGGCTTTGCTCCTATGAGTCCACGCATCAACAGTCCAATGCACCCTGGCGGAGGTGGTAAGCAGTTTCATTAAACTCACTGGGTTTTTGCAACATAGTGGTTGAAGATCTGGGCTTTTATCAAAGGGTTGCAGGTTCAAATCCTCCAAGAGGATTTTATCATCCATTTAAACACTATTGTGTTTGTCTGCCAATACCTAAAACTTTAGTTTTGGTCTGTCTGGTTGCCTTTTGACCATTTGAATTTTATCAATAATATAAAGACTATTTATATTTGGACAGGGTTTCCGCGGGGTCTTAGTCTTAAAAGTCTTAAATTTAGTTGTATCAAATTTAAGGCCTTAAAAAGTCTTAAATTGTACGAGAAAGTCTTAATTATGATTTCAAGAGGTCATAAATTTGGGGACGGAAAAAACAGAATTGCGTTATGGCTGAATGTGACGATTAAACTTCAAATGGCTAACGTTATGATTTCATTGAATAAACACGAGCGCTGCACGTTCAAAGTCCGGTGCTGCGCTGCTTTGTGTTCTGCCGTTGCCGGGAAACAGTGATATTTCTACCAAACGCTCCACCTGCTGGCAGAGAATGAATGAGCATTTTCAATAAAACTGTTGTTTTGTTCAGAGTTCAGAGCAGTGCGAAAATCGACCCATATTTTTACCCTGCAAACACGCAGAGCTTTAAATGTGAACTGGTGGATCGATAAGAAGACAATGCATTATAAAAATCTAAACATAGGGGTGTGCAATATGTATGGTCAGCGATAATATTGTAATTGTTGTTTTAACAATGTGCTATTTGATATTATGAGTATATCGCGAAAAGCAAACACAAAACACACCTACAGAGTGCACGCATACATTATGTGATGAAGTCTAGCAGGTTAGGCTAGTGCACGTGCGCATTTAGAGTGCGTTCTTTCACTGCATGAATCCGTCTATTAAAATGCATTAAGAATTATCACATAATTTAAGATATGGGGCAGAAAATGTATATCTTCATATCATATCATATAGTTAATATCACACGAAGAGTGCCATTTTTTTTTCTCTCCAAAAGTCAGCATGATTATAAATGTGATATTGATTTTATACAACAGTGCAATAAACAAGTAGTTAATATTAAGAGACTTGCGTTTTAGACACCATATTTCTCCAACAAAAATCATTCCAAGCACAGCCACAGCGCTGTTTTGCGTCTCTGAGCAACATGATGGTGTTTCGTTCCTGAATGAATCACCCGTTTAAATGATTCGGTTCAATCTCAATGACTCACTTAACGGTAACTTGCTGCCACCTACTGGCAGTTTTAATTTCACATTTAAAGGTACCTTTTCATTTTTTTTTAAAAATTATTTCAAACATCAGCTTTCAATGTTTTATGTTTAAAATATCAAAACATTATTTATGCATTTGTAACTGCAGGTTAAAGTATTCCATGTCCCTCAGAGCTGCATTAAACAGTGTGTAAATGCATCTAAATTACACTTCTAATGCAGCTTCTGTGTTTCCTCTGCATTGCAAAGATACATTTTGTTGAAACTGATTTAATTTGCTTGGTAACAACCCAAATGCAAGAATTTGACTCAAAAGGTGGTGCACACTTTTAGAGAAAAATGGCTTAAAGGTAAAAATGTCCATCAAACTTGTTGGAAATTATTAATGTCTATTACTGTTGTGAACTGACCACACAGAATATGAAGAATATCAAAACTGGTTTAAAGGCTGAAATGTAAAGTTTATCATTTTATAAAACTTTGTTTTTGTGAAAACTTGTATCTGAACTGTGAATTATGCTTTTTACAGTAATTTTACAGTTTAATATGGTACTACATTGCCCTACCCCGCTCATATGGTATTAATTTTATTTGTGCAGGTCTTAAAAAAGGTCTTAAAGTCTTAAATTTGAGCTTAAAAATCCTGCAGAAACCCTGTTGGATCTAGGCATCATCTGTTGTTTTCTGGTCTTCTTTCCAGGTCAGCAGCACAGGGGTGGAGGTGGTGGCATGGGTCGGGGCCGTGGGCGACGAGACAATGATCTGATTGGGCAGACTGTTCGTATATCCCAGGGACCATACAAAGGTTAAATGAATTATTTGGAGTGACTTTTTGTGAGAAGCTTTTGCTTTGGTTTAGTATTTTGTACAAATTTCATTGCATTTTATAACATGTTAAGTGTGGCTTCAGTGTCCAAATCCTTTGAGACCACCACACGTTCACTTTGTCTTATATTCCTATAAGCTAAAGGTTTTGTAACACCTTCTTAATTTCCCCAGGGTACATTGGCGTGGTGAAGGATGCCACAGAATCAACCGCTAGGGTAGAGCTCCACTCAACTTGCCAGACCATCTCTGTGGACCGGCAGCGTCTCACAACTGTGTATGTGGTCATACACAAACATTTATACTGTCTCTGCTTCTTCCACATTTGTTTATTCCATCTTTTGGAATTCAAGCTGCCAATGAAAGTCAGTACGCCTAGTTCTGCTTAACACATTTACACCACATATCAGAAAATGTAAATAAAAGTGGTTGGTCCTGTGTGGGAAATGTGAGAATCCTAGCTATTAGTTTCCCAACTACTGTTTGACAGTGCTGCCTCATTATAGAGTGGTTTGTGTTCTTCTGACATGTTATTTTTGATTTCACTAGTGCAGTAAACTTTGACCGATAGGACAGGCCAACTTAGCAGCTCTCTGAATGCACAGGGATAGTTGATCCTGGAAAATATTTGCGTATTGCACACTTCAGAGATTGCTTGGTAGATGGATGATTTTGGTGTGTTGAAATTTGTGAATCTATGCTGCCATTCAAAAGTTTTGGTTTGGTATTCATCCTGGCTGAATAAACGGTATTCATTTCTTGCAAAAAAAAATAAAAATAAAAATCTAACCGACCTCAAACTTTGGAATAATGTAGTTTTGATATCTTGATGGTTTTTAACTTGTTCTCCTGAATTTTCTATTTTTTTTTTTACACCTAAATCTTTTTGCTTTTTGAATTAGTGGTGGCAAAGAAAGACAAGGAAGGACTTTTTTTTTTTACTTTACCTGTCTTTCATTGTTCACAGGAAGCCGGACTCCTCACTATGGCTCCCAGACTCCTCTGCATGACGGGAGCAGGACCCCCGGTCAGAGCGGCGCTTGGGACCCCAACAATCCAAACACACCATCACGGTAAAAAGCAGAGCAAGACAAATGCGCACATGCAATCAAACAGTCCCAAGTACCTCAACTTCAACTCTTTTTACTTCTGTTTTCAGGGCTGATGACGAATACGAGTTTGCTTATGACGACGAGCCCTCTCCATCTCCTCAAGGCTATGGCGGTACACCCAACCCACAGACTCCTGGCTACCCAGAAGTGCCCTCCCCACAGGTCAACCCTCAGTACAACCCTCAGACTCCGGGGACTCCTGCTATGTGAGGGCTCATTCAGAGGCTCGATGCTTTTGATCTGGCTTGAGAACATCTTAAACTGAGTATGTTTTTGCACCGTAGGTACAACACCGACCAGTACTCCCCATATGCAGCACCCTCTCCGCAAGGGTCCTACCAGCCCAGCCCCAGCCCACAGAGTTACCACCAAGTGGCCCCAAGCCCAGTGGGATACCAAAACACACACTCGCCCGCCAGTTACCACCCCACCCCATCACCCATGGCCTACCAGGTAGTTTTGGCTGCTGAAAACAAAAAAAGCAAGAAACCAGCTACTTAGAGTAGTGATGCACCAAAATTTTTTTTTTTAGCAAACCTGAAATTAAAGTTTTCATTTAGTGAAAATAACGTTTATATAATAATTTAATTAATCAAATGAATTTAATAATCAACTCTCAAATAAAAACTAAGTTGTATACAAACCTTCTAACTAAACATAAGGCATATCAAATATCGAGTCAGATTTCTTTTATCTTTTTTTTTTTTTAGGTTTTTCAGTTTAGAATTTGTAGTAATTTATATTTATATATATATATATATATATATATATATATATGATTAATCGCATTCAAAGTAAGTTTTGTTTATATATGTGTACTGTGTATATTTATGTGTATATATATATATAAATACACACACA